AATATAAAAAATCAAGGTGAAGAAGGAACTTCTTGAAATAAAGTTGATGACTCTATATATGTACGACCAATGATATGTTCACATTAAATTACAATGTATTGTACCGTTAAGAAGTTTGTAGAGCCCCTTGTCAAGACAAAGGTATTATATTCCATGATTTCAAAGAAATTGATTGAAAATCCTCTTAGTTTGTCTAAATTGATGCTTATCCACAAGAGGGATTCAAATAATGGATTACGAAAAGTTTTCAGTGAACCATTATCTGGTTCAAAGCAGCCTTGAATATCCAAGTCAACTAATGAAATCAACATTTTTTTGTACATGTATATTTGAATAGCTGTGAACGATTGCTAATTGTATGTATTCCAACAAAGACTACACATTGTATTTAAATAATGGCCTTATAACTTGCCTGAAAGATATCAGTCAAAATTGGACCTTATGATAGACTGTATTTGCGAACAACGCCTTTGTTTCAGCCATAGAATGTTGACTTCAATTTACATTGTAAATGTCCTTGTAATTTTTTTCGTGTGTGTGTAAATAATCTATAAACATATACTTAGATGCGTTTTGATTTGGTATAATGAAAAGAAAAAGGCTGCAACAATGGTTTCTGAATAGATTATAAATTTTCATTTCATCCACATTAAAAACATATAAATGTGAAATATATGTAATTTAAAGTACACAGAAAGTTATTATAGGTTTAACAATCATATGTTGTTTTAAAGAATGTTGTCATTCCTTTGCGGTTATGCAGCCATGAAATGAAATAAAATTCACCAGTAGTTCTACATTTCTTGTCTTCCCTCATTTGAAATTCCTTATCAAAAGTCTAAATTTTGACAAAAAAGTGTATTAAAATGGGGTGCTGAAAAAAAAATTATGCTGGTAATGTGCTGTTTTTAAATTTAATTTCCCAGGTTGGCATAAATGAACATAATTTGTAAATTTGATTGAAAATTCACAAGTCATTTTTAATTATTTAAATGATTTTGTTGTAAAAATCAGGAAAAATGAAATTCCACTTCAAATTGTTTCATTAGACATATTTCTTCGAATTTAATAGGAAAAAAGCAATCATCACAAAATACATTTTTATGGGCATATTCTTTAACGCCTTTATTGGAATCTGATATTGCTAATTTTCAAACAGGGGTACATGTTTTTGAAAAACTCTGTCTCAGTAATTGACAACCCCTTCATTTTTTTATTTATCGAACCCTAGTATGCACAATCAAAATTTTTGAGAAATCACAAGTAGTTCCATTTTTAGGGACCTACCTTATATTAACGAATGGCATTGCGTACGTGACTTGAATAGAAAAGAGCATTAACGAGGCCGAGCATAATTATTTCTACCCTAGATATTTTGATAGATTTTCTTGAATGAATTTTTACTATTTTATTAATTATTTTAAGATAAAAATATCAAATGTTTACCATCCCGATTTCTAAGACGGCCATCTTAAAAGTTGTCAAATTTTACTATTGGACACTATGGAAATTTGTTGGAAAAGCGTCAAATTATCACACTTTCCCCATATTTTTTGTATTTCTGCCCTAGGGATTTCGTTTTCAGTCAAATACATGAAAGTTATTGTAAAAAGACATCAAATTGTGAAATTTAAAAAAAAAAGTTGACCATTTGGTTTGGTCTAGGAATTATTACAAAGTTTCTTTTTTTACCTAATGCCCAATACACGTACCTCTAAATTTGCCAAACTGCGGCATACATTTTGTATATATCAATGCAGATAAATTAATTTGGTAAGAATAACAACGTTTAGATTGCTGTTATGTTTGTTTTTTTTGATGTTCTGTCAACAGTGTTTAATAAAATGTCTATAGACGTCTTGAATACTCAATGAAGCGAGTTAATTCTGCGTCATTCTTCAGTGTCATGCATTGCTTACATAACAGGAAAACAGTGACGTCGTGAAAGCCATTTCAGCATTTATTCCTAAATATTGTCTTAAAAGCACATTATAAGACCCATAAACGTTAAATATGTTCATTTTATGTCACAATTACAATACTTGGGTAGGTCTTATGTTGCAGATAACGACTGCAGGAAACTAAAAAGCTGCGCAAAGTCATGCGCACTGGAATTAGACTCGGCCTCGTTAAATCAGAGACATTTACTATCAAGGTCTCATCCAAAAGACCCGTGACTTTCATTCCTAATGCCAGGCTCTTGGCGAAGGAACAGTCACTATATGTACCGATCTTTACACCACATTACATACATTTTTGACGGGACTAGCTCGGCAAACGAGAATCAAACCCGGGCCTCCCGATCACGAAGCAAACGCCTTACCACTAGGCTATCGTGACTGACCGGTAGGCATTAAATGGAAATATGCAACATTTATATAAGCTCTCATTTTCTAGCTGTTGTATTTTTATATGGTAAATGAAAAATTACTTTTTTGGCTGATACATCATTACAATGTAATTATTAGGTGATTTGAAATTTGTATAATTGAAGAAATAGTACTACAATGTGACAATGAATACTCCTATCCTAAACACTGAAAACTTTGATTTCTGAAAATCATGGTATCTTTCATTTTGATACGAAAAATACAGTAAATGGCACAGTATATTCTTAAAGAATTTTGAATCCCCAGTTCCATATATTGAGTAAGCAGTAATATCAGATAGTGACACAAGACCCAAGAGCTGGAAAATCTCACGTCTACATTTTTCATATACAATACATGTAAAAAGATTAGTTTTTTTAATTCCCCAAAAAATCTTACATGCAAAAAAAAAAAACAAAAAAAAAAAAAAAACCTAAACTGACCAAAAGGGGGGAAGAGGGGGGGGGGCAACTTCCCAAAATAATATGTCAAGAAAGAATAAATTAAATTAAATTAAATTTAAAAAAAAAATTAAATGTCCAAATCCTGGGATTCACCAGTGCTCGACCTTAAGCCTACAGTAACAAAAAAAGGGGGGAGGGGCAACCAGCATCTGTAGCAAAATACTATAACCAGACCCCCCCCCCTTGCTTTCTACGGACCTTAATAATTTAAAGTATCACGAACCCCTGAATCTCGTATAGCAGATATTTAGGTCAATCAATTAAACAATCAAGTGGTAAATTTCTAGTTACAAGAAAATTTTTTATTCTTGTGTACCTTTTCAAAAAAAAAATCCACTTCCGTCATATTCACTATCTGCGGTGTTGTGAAAAGGTGTCTATGAGGATATAACAAAAGACAAAATAGCATTTTCGTATATATAGTTCCTCATTGAAGCTATACATTTTAACGATATGTATATTTTAAATAAAAATAATTTCATTGTTTTATGGTATTTTTTGGGGGGAGGGGTGGGGGGTGGGGTGGGGTTTTTTTTCCTTTTTCTATGACTTACGAGTACATTAGCCCTACTGCACTGAAGACGAGGTTTTATAAAGAAAAAAATCTTAAAATATTTCTATGCAACACTTTGATGTGGATAAATTGGCCAAATGTTCAGTTGATTTAATCATTTAAAGGGGCTTAGACACAGTTTTTAAGTTTATATTTTCTCAAATTTTCTCTATAATATCCTGACTTATATGTTGCTCTAGCATTTCACACGGAAATACAATGAAAAACTTATTTTATTTAGAAATTATTGAAACTACGAATTTCGGGACGCGTTTGGTTGGCACATCCTTGCACTTTCACAAGGTAAACTTTATCGTTAATACTTAAGAAAAGTAGAATTTTTGTTGTGTATTAATGAAAAGTATCAAAATATCCAGAAAATCCAGAGTAGAAATATGAGAAAGCAAAACCAACCTACCAGTATTGTCAGTCCATGCTCAGTGATGTGTGCAGAATTTAACAACTGGTAAGTTGGTTTTGCTTTCTCACATTTCTACTCTGAATTTTCTAGATTATAGTTTTAATATTTTTCATTAAGACACAACAGAATCTCTACTTTTCTTAAGTACTAAGGATATAGTTTACTTTGTGAAAGTGCAAAGATGTGTCAATCACGCGTCCCGAAATTCGTAGTGTTAATTATTTCCAGATGAAAGACCTTTTTATTGTATTTCCGTGTGAAATGCTATAGCAACATATAAGTAATGAAATTTTACAGAAAATTTGAGAAAATATTAACTTCAAATCTGTGTCTAAGCCCCTTTAAAGCATTTAAAATACAAAACCATATTTTTTTTATAAGGCGGGGTTTTGCTGTGATTTTTAAGGGGGACTTCGAAGTTGTATATTGCATACATACTAAAATCATAAGGATGGCGTACATATCATATTAATTTTAAGTGTACTGGAAACGATGTTATAGAAGAATTTTATCATAGTTTGTGCATCTGTTTTAGAGTTCAAAATAAATAAATAAATAAATAAATAAATAAATATACGTGTTGGCCTTTCATTATTACATTTATTGATTGAGCTCGAGGGCAACATGCGTTTTGTCGGACCCATGGTAAATTTTAATGTGCTTAAGGTTCATAAACCCTCTGCTCACTCATATAAAATATTGCCTTAGCTTTTATGGTTTTGCGAAAAAAAATGTATTTTAAAAGTAAAATAAAAACTATCATACCATAGCTTGCGGTGCAAAATTAAACAAAAAAGACATTTCAACTTGAAAAATTTATGAAGGAATAATAGACATTTATGTCATTAAGAGTTACCTCTCTTATCAGAGTATCAATGAACCTTAACGGTTGACAAATCATGATACCGAAATTTAAAACTCCTTCATATTGATAACGATTTACCAGGATTTGATAGTAGAATTTGATCGAAATTATAGGAAAAGGGCTAATTTTACAGAACAGAATAAGTTTTAATATTTTGTACTTTCAGAATTATGAAATAAAAAAAATTGCTTGCATCGAAAAAAAAAATTGCAAAACAATTAAGAAACAAAACAAAATATTATTATTTTTTTATTTTGTTGCATATAAAATCATTTTTCATTGGTATAACTGTACAGTGAACTATTTGTTACATAAAAAAAGAAAATCACCCATTATTTACAAGTTTTCTTTTTCACATTCCTTTTTTAAAGGCCTCCAATAACACATCTTTTTTAGATTTATCTTCGTCACACACGAATTGGACCCATGAATCTACTAACTGCTTCATGGGAACTTTCTTTTTCTCATACGAATCGAACACGGATTTCAATACTGCTTCATTCTCGTGCCCAAACGCTCTGAAAGCAAACACGAATTCATCGAGATCAATAGTGCGATCTTTATCCATATCTATGACGTCAAAGACCTTTTCGAAACACTTCTGCATGCTAGCTTTAAAGCCTGCTTTGTCTTTCTTATAATCGGCGGACAGGATAGATACAAAGTCATCGACACTGATCTCCTTTCCTGCGCCTGCGCGGAAAATGTACGTGTTCCACCATTGTTCTATATCCACGTTGACAGTCTTGGCCTTTTCTCCCGCCAGTTTATGGAGATCCGTGAACTTTTTACGACATTCCTCGACGTCTTCAATAGATATCTTGCCGTCCTTGTTGACGTCTAGGTAGGAGTACCAGTATTTCCATTTAATTGTTAAGTAATCCATGGCGTGCTAAAATTTAAAAACAAGATAAAGAACAGCCATTTCAAACTCAAATCTAAGGACTTGTTTCAAAATACATATTTTGAAACTGTAATCACCTCAATAAATGGAAAAAAAAATGAAGAAAAAAAAGAATCTCTGAAAGGTATTAAAAAGTAATATTATGATGATTTATTCTTATAAAGCTTTGTATATTGTTTATAATTATTCCTATAGCATTCTTCTCCCTCCTCTATTCCCCTTAATATGACTGACATTTGATTCGTCTTATCATATATAAGTGCACAATCTCTTAGTGTAATATTAACAAGAATATAAAAAACGGTTCATGTTTATTTCAGATTTAAAGGTCTTCAACCATTCAATACAAATAATTGTTTGAATGATAATTTACATGTCACTACACCGGCTGTACACGATTAAAGAGGAAAGGTGTACATCACAAATTCATATAAGTATTTCTAGCGATCGGGATTTTTTTTTTATCAATAGAAGCACTCGTGATCGTGTACAGCTTCTACCAAATGAATAACGTATTCCAGAGGATCCTCTTTTGACACTTCCCATTATTTTAGTGGGATTTGGATGAAGATTTCAAGAAAATACCAATCAATAAACACAGAAACATATACGAGGGTTGTCCTGTAAAATCGTGGACAAAGCGTTTTTATTGAAAAATAATGGGCGCACTGAGCTGAACTTTTTAGCAAATGTTTATTTATCATAATTCAAGTGCATTTTAATAAAGATTTTATTATGCTTGAATGTGCACAGGGTACGGTTGTACGGCGCACGATACCCCCCCCCCCCCCAAGGTTTCATTAGAAAATACACGAGTATTATTTCGAAATAAAAGTATCAAAAAAATGAGGTTGGGGTAAAAATTATCCTATTTTTAATTCGCTATCTTTTCTGTCGTCTTATGGAAAATTTCAAGGCATTTGCTTAATTTTCGCAGTTTCCCGAACATTTGAAATGGGAAAGTGATAATCACAACACACGAAAAATGTCGACGTTTGACGACGTTACGGTGCACAGGAGAGCAGTTCAGTTTGATTTAGATGTAGTAATGACGCCCTAAGAGACTTTAAATGACTACTGAAGAAAAGAAAATATGAAAATATCACTAGATCTTTAGTATACAAGTGAAATGGGAGTTTTCTAAGAGGAAGCTTTTTGATAGAGTCCCCGGATAGAACAAAACATACGGACAAACAGTTACTGGCAATAGCGAAAGACGCTGTCACTGTAGACAGTCGATATAAGTAAGCCTATTTAGTTAATGTTAGTGAGAGTACTGTCCATAACTTACTAATAAATCTTCAGAAGGTCCCAAGTGTTTGCGAAATTGGTTCCTCGACTGTTTATGGAGGAATAAAGGTAATGAAATATGTGCGTCAATGAAATTCCTGAATTTAAGTGGGGCTTCTGCAACTTTTTTTTTAGCAAAGAGGAAACGTGACGCTGCTTTAGACACTTTGACGTTATCATCCGTGCGCCGTAGGTGATACCACACATAACATAAAATCTCATATTTTGTTTATTTGAGCATATACATGTATCTGTTTGAAATTTGCTATGTATATTGATGAAAAATGTACTAAACAGTAGTGGAAATTTTAGAACGCAGTGATGATTATTTTTCACGCTAGACAACTTGTCCACGATTTTACCGGACAACCCTCGTGTAAACTTTTCCGATCCTTTGTGTATTTTCACATGCATGGCCAGAACATCTAGCGTGCGCATCCATTTCCCATTTTCAAAATTCGTACATTCGTTGAGAATAGTTAAGATGTGTTTTTGAGAGCTACATCGAAAGGTTTGAAAATGTTCCATGGATTTTAAGATTGCATTGCTAAATTGGAAAGGAGTCACATACTAGGAATTTTACAACAATAGACAAACATTTTAAAGAACTAAGTACGTTATGTATTATTCGAAGGCCCACAATTTTTCGTATTTTTATATACACGTTTGAAAAAATATAACTACTATGTACATGTAGAAGAAGATTCGTAGTTTTGATATATGCATAACAAAATTTCGCAAGTACGTTGATTAGAGGTATTCATAGGATTTAAACATCCGTTCTTTCCGGAAATTGCTATTTTTTCCACTATTTTTACAACCAATTCCCAAAATTGAAGTAGTGCACACCCCTCGAGCAAAATAAAACATATATATTTGAAAATAATTTGATAAAAGACAAGCAAAAATAATGGTAAGAATTTGCTCGAGGAATGTGCAGTATGTTACTTTTGACATTTCATGACTATTTCCGGTGGCGGATACCAAGTTAGTCGAGAGGCGAGTTCTTATCTAGGAGCAATAATAATGGTGTATTTCGTGTAATAATGTTAAAGAACTAAATTTATCATTGAATGACCATAGTTATATTGCTCATACAAATATATTTGTCATGAAAATAGCATAAAAACAACAAAAAATGTTTTATAGAAACGATATTTTTTTTTATAAAACTAAGCCTTACACTCGATAAATGTTGCCAGCAAGAAGGTAAGAGATCAATTTAATATACTAAAGCAATAAAATAAAAATGTTCAGCTGACAAATGAAATCACTAAAAGTATTATTGCAGAAAAGAAAATGCTTAAATCCTAGCCTTTATTTTATCTTGCTACTGAAACGGCATAGTTGACGTCTGCATGTATGTAAATAAATTACGCAATAAACTCAAAGATGACGTCACAATAGGTCCCCTTGCAACTTATTTTTTTTTTTGGAAAGGGGGGGGGGGGATAAATTCCCAATCTTTTGGATGCTGTTGGTCAGGACTGATCAGATTAATTAATATTCTGAAGTCTTGTATTTTCAGTCATTTATACAAGTGCACGGTTGATGTTTAATATATTTTTAGATTTTATAACACACAATATAGGCGTGATGCATCTGCATCTACATATTGTAGACATTGCCGTTAATATTATGCAAAGCCATATAAAAACAAAGGCTCATATTTCACCTAGTAAAAGAGCCACAGCGCATTTGATAGGCATTTTCGCCTACTCTACTAGTGATTTCTTATATTCATCGTTTAACCAAAATGTTGTCATACAATCTTAGTTTATACATGCGTAAAACCATACCACACAATAATAATATTAATAGTTTCCTCATATGATAAATATGAAAATTATCCAGTTTGTATGGAGTATATAGTAAATATTGAGGTATCCACCTAAAGATGACAAACTCAGTTGCCAAAGACTACCCATAACCAAAAAAAAAACAAAAACAAAAACAAAAACAAACAACTTTTGAATGATTTTATTTGGAAATGACTGCGCTTCTAATTTTGGTTAAAGGTAGTCTTCATATTGAAAATGACGACAATATATATTCAATTTTTCTTCTCATATAATCGTAAGATTTATCAATCTGTCTTAAATTTATTTATTCAACGTCATTGACTTCGTTGGCACAGCGGTATGATTGCTGGAATGTAAATATGGTGATACCGAGTTCGAGTCCCACATTTTTCCATTTATGCTTTCTTAAATTTGTTTTTTTTTTTGTGTATCTTTTCTACGTTTTCTTTATTACGTTTTATGATATACATAATTTCAGAAAGTGATAATATACACATTACACTTTAAAAGTATCTCGGGAAAAAACAGTCCTAAGCTATTTTATTAAAGTTTGCAAATTCATAGCTACTTGTTTTATTTTTATTGATTTTATAAATCTTTTGTCTCAGAATTTCAGTATTGAACAAATTAAATGATTGTCACTTGACATACTTGCAACTACGAAAATATAACACTCGTCCTCAAATCATATTACATAGTTTGATCTTGAATTGAATAGGTATATCTATAAATAGAATCAGGTGATTTCCTTTTAAATTCTTGAGTCAGCCGTGTCGTCGGAGAGGCAGCTATGACTCTTTATTTTTTACCCGTATATTCTACTTAAGATCATTCCACATATACCAGAGATGTAATTTTTTGTCTGTCGAAGATCCAGTGAAGTTAAAAGAAGACTGGAATGAGAAAGCGACAGAAAGGTTCAAAAAGGAATTTCGGACAAAAAAAAATAAATAAAAGCTGTATCGGATGATGGGTGCACTTTTCACAAGGTTACCTGTCTAGAAAATTCTTTCACCCCATTACGGCAGTGTAAGCAGGGTTTGACACTAAGGCACGCCCGACCGACCCAGTCTAGTAAATGAGTGGTCCGGTCGTGTAAAATGTACGGGAACTAGACCGTTTGGTCGTGTTGATAAAATAACTGTCTCATTCAATGTTCAAATAAATAATCTAATAACTTTAAAAGAAATTTTCTTTCTCCAAAGCCATCGCTGTATGAAGGACAATCGCTATTTTTAGCCACGGCTGTAATTAGCAAGTCACAGTCGAAACTACTGTCGTTCAGTATCAATATGGTTAAAATAGCTACGTATAGTACAGTTTTAAATTTATTAATATTTACGATAATGATTTTATTTAATTAATTTTCTTTAAGGATTATGATACTGTCCTGATGAACCAAACTCAATTTGCTTGGAACTATCGAACAATTGACACGTGCAAAAGACAATGTCTTTCTTAATATGGTTTCAGAAGTTACCTCATTAAAATTCTCGATTATAAGAAGTAAATTTGCAACTTTGGTCAGGGCTAGTGCTTTTATGGTCAGGGCTAGTAAATATTATCGGAAGTAGCCCGATTGGTCTACTACTTAAAAAAGTTAATGTCGAACCCTGGTAAGTGTATCACACAATCTAATACAAGTACTGTGGAACAAAATTATCTGTCAGTGTGGACAAGTCTGAAAACAAGTTATTTATCAGGCACGAAGAATCAGGGACGCAGGGCCCCTTCCCACTTTTTTCCGAACTTTGAATATGTTCATTGAAAGACTAACCCACCCCCACCCCCTCTATTTGCTGTAGCTTAGGTAAAGTTTAGGAATTTAGTGTATTGGGGGAAAATTGGTTGTGAAAAAAGAATGAAAAAAAGTTTGAACCTACAGTGACACGGGGC